TGTATGGACCTATAGACACTTTAAACCTCATAGCTATACTGTATATCTGCAGTGTGAGATCTTTGGCACTGCTACCCTCATGAGGTTTGGAGCTGTCACCACTTGCTGCTCACTATTCTCCTTGCCAAAGAGGAAGCTGTACCTTGGACCTTCAGTGCAAGGATCTTCCGCCTGAAACATTCATTCTGTTGTTAAAAGCTGTCAGAAGTGGAATTCGAACCCACGCCTCCAAGGGACACTGCGACGAACACAGTGCCTTAGATCCTCAACCACCCTGACCCATCATGCATGTCCACAGAGACATAATGTGATATTATGTATCATAAACAATTGATATTTCCACAAAATTTCCCAGAGGGATCCACTTGTGCCTCTACCCCTTAGGGCCCATACACACCGGGAATTGCAAAGGAACACACTGTGTGTTCCCATGCAAGTCATATGCAGTTCTCTGCAATGCAACTTCAGCCCATTCCTTTTGAATGGGCAAAAATCGCTCCACACCGCACTAAAAGTATGGACTGTTTTTGGATATTCACTGCAACCATATCATATGGTTCTTCTGTACCATTCAATCTGGTGCGAGCAAACACATTGTGTTTCCAACCTGCATTTGGGATGTCCTCAACTTATTATTGACAACTGCTGCAGATTGCAACTGCAGTGTTTTGAACATGGTTCGGGAAACCTTTACAGAATGTGGGTTTCCCGCACTGTGAACTGGCCCTTAGTCAACAACACCTTGCACTATCTCTACAGCTTCTTTCCTATCAAAGGGGTAGACTTACAATTATACAGTATATTGATTTTTACACAAATATTTTTCACATATTTGTAAAAAAAAAAAATCAGAAGAGAAAAAAGAAAAAATTGTCAGACCAAGTAGCTTCTGCTGGGTGGGAACTCTCTCATTACACTTGTATTTACTACCATTATAAATAATTTTAGGCAGCCTTCCAGCTTCTCTTATCAGCTGTGGGATAACAAGTCCTCTCAGGCTCCTAGCTGCTTCCATCAGCTGATGGGGTAACGAGTCTTCTCAGGCTCCTAGCTGCTTCCATCAGCTGTGGGGTACCGAGTCTTCTCAGGCTCCTAGCTGCTTCCATCAGCTGTGGGGTAACAAGTCTTCTCAAGCTGCTTCCATCAGCTGTGGGGTACCAAGTCTTCTCAGGCTCCTAGCTGCTTCCATCAGCTTGGGGGTAATGAGTCTTCTCAGGCTCATAGCTGCTCCCATCAGCTGCGGGGTAACGAGTCTTCTCAGGCTCCTAGCTGCTTCCATGAGCTGTGGGTAACGAGTCTTCTGAGACTCCTATTGCTCCCATCAGCTGCAGGGTAACGAGTCTTCTCAGGCTCCTAGGTACTCCCCATCAGCTGCGGGGTAACGAGTCTTCTCAGGCTCCTATCTGCTCCCATCAGCTGCGGGGTAACAAGTCTTCTCAGGCTCCTATCTGCTTCCATCAGCTGCGGGGTAACAAGTCTCTCAGGCTCCTATCTGCTTCCATCAGCTGCGGGGTAACGAGTCTTCTCAGGCTCCTATCTGCTTCCATCAGCTGCGGGGGTAAAGTCTTCTCGAGCTGCTCCCATCATCTGCATGAGTCTTCTCCTAGCTGCTTCCATCAGCTGTGGGGTAATGAGTCTTCTCAGGCTCCTAGCTGCTTCCATCAGTTGCGGGGTAACGAGTCTTTTCAGGCTCCTAGCTACTCCCATCATCTGCGGGGTAACGAGTCTTCTCAAGTTTTTAGCTGCTTCCATCAGCTGCGGGGTACCGAGTCTTCTCGGGCTCCTATCTGCTTCCATCAGCTGCGGGGTACCGAGTCTTCTTGGGCTCCTATCTGCTCCCATCAGCTGCGGGGTAACAAGTCTTCTCAGGCTCCTAGCTGCTCCCATCAGCTGCGGGGTAACGAGTCTTCTCGGGCTCCTAGCTGCTCCCATCAGCTGCGGGGTAACAAGTCTTCTCAGGCTCCTAGCTGCTCCCATCAGCTGCGGCGTAAAGAGTCTTCTCAGGCTCCTATCTGCTCCCATCAGCTGCGGGGTAACGAGTGTGGCCCCAGCCAAGAGCTGCCTGCAAGATGTCTGTGGATATAGTAAAGCTAGCCATACACTTTTAGATCTTTCTTGTTTAGCCCACCAGCTGAACAAGATACAAATCAATGGGTTCCTCCATCAATGCTAAACAGCATAGGTATAGAAACCTCCTCTGCTGGCTTTTGTATTCAGGTAGTTGCAGCACCCATGGCTGCCTGAAAACCAAGAAAAAAAATGAATCTCTCTGGGGATCAATGTACACTGAAGGGATTGCAACAAACTTTGTAGCAGATTCCTACTCTTTGTTGCTCTGAAGGAATAGCTGTTTGTTTCACCATGTCCATTGCTGACTGAATCTGAATGGGAGGGTCTGGTTCATTATAATCACCTGGTACACTCTCAGTGTTGAGGAAAGGTCTTCATCCTTTTAGACATACTGTATTTAACCTTAGAGGGTATTTCACCTGAACTGAAATTCCTGGTACAGAAGATGCCTAAAATTTAACTTGAAACTCAGTGCAGACTTCTGGGAAAATCAATGAGCCAATCACACAGAAAAATTATATATTTGGAGGAGTTCTGTCAGCTAACAGTGTACAGAATGCATCCAGGTAGCCACATTGCAATACATTTTACAGAAAAGTACAGTCCTGCAGATTGAAAAGGAAAGGTAATTTGTAAGAACATTCAATTGCAACACAGCTTGTGTTTTTTTATTTGCTAGATTTTTTTCTACTCCAAGTGGAGTAACCCTTTAAAAGGTAAATACACACATGAAATGCATGCATGAGTTCTGTCTCACCTACCAAGGGTTTTGTATTTCTTTCCATCCAGTCCTGGAATTTACACAGCCCTGTCTGGCAAAGAAGAGGGCCTGATCTTTCTCTCCTGCTCTTCTACTAACAGGTCCCCTCCTCACCCCCACCCTGTGCCTGAACAGTGAAAGGAAAAGCACCAGAAAAAATGAACTTATCTCTCTCTGAATCTGCTCTCTCCTCCAATCAACATTCTCCTTGAACTTACTTGATTGTGCTGCTTCTCTCTCTTCATCTTTTAGCTCTGCTGTACAAGATTGATATCAAGTCAAATTAAGATACTTACACTGCTTGTTTTTAATATAAAAAAATATGATGTATTAATGATTACAGAGCTGTATTTATTTGTGCATTTTTATATCTGCCTGGGGTTTATCTTTAACCGTCTCCCACCCACCATATAACGACGTGACAAGCGCAAGGCAGTTCTCTCGTTCTGGGAGTACGTCATATGACGTCCTCCCCCCCCTCTAACCGCGCGTGCGCGCCCCCAGGGACACAGCGGATCACCGCTCAGTGGAAAGAGCCGATGACTTCGACTCTGTCATGTGATCAGCTGTGTCCAATCACAGCTGATCTCATGTAAATAAGGAAATGCCGGTTATCTGCATTTCTCCCCTCACGAGCTGTCACGCTGACAGCTCATGAGGAGAGGAGAGCCGGTACTTGGCATTCCTCATACGGGACATCTACACTGATGATCAGTGCCCTGATGATCAGTGTAGTACCATCAGTGCCACCTGTCAGTGTCCATCAATGCCACCTGTCAGTGCACATCAATGCACACATACATATTAGTGCCCATTTGAGCTGCCTTTCAGTGCTATCAGTGCCAGTCAGTGCTGCCTATGAGTGCTGTCAATCAGTGCCAGTCAGTGCCACCTAACAGTTCCAGTCAGTGCCGCCTATCAGTGCCAGTCAATGCTGCCTATCAGTGCCATATATGGGTACTGCCTTTCAGTGCCCATCAGTGGTGACTGTGAATGTCCACCAGTGATGCCTGTCAATGCCCATCAGTGCCTCCTGTCAGTGCAGCCTATCAGTGCCCATCACTGCAGCCTCATTAGCGCACATCAGTGAAGGAGAAAAATTACTCATTTACAAAATTTTATAACAGAAATTAAGAAAACTTTTTTTTTCAAAATTTTCAGTTTTTGGTTTGTTTAGCAAAAAATAAAAAACCCAGAGGTAATTAAATACCACCAAAAGGAAGCTCTATCTGTCTCAAAAAAAATGATAAAAAGTTCATATGTGTACAGTGTTGCATGACCGCACAATTCAAAGTGCAAAAGATCTGAAAGCTGAAAATTGGCCTGGGCAGGAAGGGAGTGAAAGTGTCCAGTACACAAGTGATTAAACAGAAAGGTGTGTTTATTAATGAATTGTACAGTATCGTATTGGGTCAACTTTTTTTTTATATATAGTTTTATTTTACGATATGTATACGGTCTTATTTTCACACCAAAAATTACTAAGGTACTATGGGGTGATCTAAAAAGGCTTTTTTTTGGTGGAAAACATATATTTAATCCTGGCCATAGTAAACAAAGAGCATATGTACAAAACCACTACACATTGCTTTCAATAGAGTGTTCAGTATGGCCTTTATTTTCCATGGCAAGTCCGCGCCATTCTGTTCTATTTCTTTGTTTGTTAGGCCATCTTGAAATTGTGGTACAACTTGTAATCCTGAACATTGTATTTAGTATATGTATATAGCAAGTGCAGCGCTCGTAGCTAATAGAGTAAATAGATGAAATACAGTATCATAGGTCAAATTAGATTCAAATAAATGTAAGGAGCAGTCCCATAAATATAAATAAATCAGGATGATAAAATGGAATAATCAAAGGTGACTTCTTTGTCCGGGTAGAGTTGGAAATGAAATGCGCACTCACCGGACGCGCATATTAAGTGCGCCTTGTATGTATTAATCCTGATCTTAGGTGGTAGGAGGACTTCCTTCTGTTGGAACCCAGATGAGTTGTCCTTCTCACTCAGATATGCCTGTGTGGTCCTGGGTGGGTGCTGTCACTCCCAATGGACTGGGTGGTAGGGGGTGATCCGTCTCAACACTGGACCTGTAGGCTAGAGTACTCCCCCAGGGGACTTTTTACCAGAGGTTATGTTACTCCATGTAGATGGATGCAGGAGGGGCGACGGGCGCCGGGCCCTCAGGCGGGGCGGCAGGCACCGGACCCCCAGGCGGAGGCGGGGCGACCCCCAGGGGGCCGGACCCCCAGGCGGAGCGGGCGGCGCCGGACCCCCAGGAGGGACGGCAGGCACCGGGTCATCAGGCACGACAACGGGCATCGGGTCACCAGGCATCAGGTCATTTGGCTCGCCAGCGGGCACCGCGTCATCTGGCAAGGCAGTGGGCACCGAGTCACCAGGCACGACAGTGGGTTCCGAGTCAACTGGCATGACCACGGGCACTGGGTCAGACATTGGATCGTCTGGCTCGACAGCGGGCATTGGGTCACCAGACATCAGGTCATTTGGCTCGACAGCGGGCACCGCATCATCTGGCAAGGCAGTGGGCACCGAGTCACCAGGCACGACAGCGGGCACCGGGTCATCAGGTACCGGATCGTCTGGATCGACAGCAGGCACCGGGTCATCTGGCGTTGGATCGTCTGGCTCGACAGCGGGCATCGGGTCACCAGGCATGACAGCGGGCACTGGGTCACCAGGCATCAGGTCATTTGGCTCGCCAGCGGGCACCGCGTCATCTGGCAAGGCAGTGGGCACCGAGTCACCAGGCAGTGGGCTCCGGGCACCAGGAGTCACCAGGCACGACAGCGGGTGGGCATCCGATCGTCTGGTCAACTGGCATGACCGCGGGCACTGGGTCAGACATTGGATCGCTTGACAGCGGGCTGGTCACCAGGCGGCAGCGGGCACTGGGCATCGGGTCACCAGGCATGACAGCTGGCGGGCACTGGGTCATCAGGCATTGGATCGTCTGGCTCGACAGCGGGCATCGGGGGTCACCAGGCATACAGCGGGCACCGGGTCATCAGGTACCGGATCGTCTGGATCGACAGCAGGCACCGGGTCATCTGGCGTTGGATCATCTGGCTTGACAGCGGGCATCGGGTCACCAGGCATGACAGCGGGCACTGGGTCATCAGGTACCGGATCGTCTGGATCGACAGCGGGCATCGAGTCAGCTGGCCTAATAGGATCATCAGGCTGGATCAGTTCATCAGGCTGGGTAGAAACATCATGCTGGGTAGAGACATCAGGCTGAATGGAGGCATCAGGCTGAATGGAGGCATCAGGCTGGGAGGCATCAGGCTGAATTGTGGGCGCCGCAGGCACCAGGCTGCACCACGGAATGCAGGTTCTCAGATGGGAGGCTGACCGGTTTGGATACTGGCAGGATGGTATTGGTTGGAAAGAACTTTCGCCTTTCCTGGTTTTAGTTACCGGAGCACTGTAAGTAAGCGCAGGTTTGTAAACGGATGGAGCAGCTGGAGACAGAGAAGAGCTGGAGGATGGAACAGGGGAGGGAACAGTTGCTACAGAGGGCTTCTTTACAGGGTTAAAGGCAGGATAGGTGCAGTGAGTGGGAACAGGGTACTGACATGCGGTAGATAGCAGGGTATACTGGGCTGTAACTGGAGGTGCTGTTGGGAATGCAGGAATAGAGCTTTGAAGAAATAGATTAGAAGCAGGACTGGGTTTTTGCAAGCTGACTGAGGCTGGGTGCAACAAGTCTGACCATGTCTGCAGTATGGGTTGAACAAAGCTCAGCTTACACAAAGCCTGTCTGACCAAAGACTGCACTGCGTTTATACAATCCCTTAATACCTGTGGTGAACATGCAGCATAATGTTCCAAGAAGCAATCCACATCATCCTCTAATAACCATACCAGGGACTCTACCTGGTCTGCACTAAATGGTGGCAAAAAGTCATTCCTGCTTTCAGGGGTACCAGATGAAGCCAACTCTACACAAACCTGAATCAAAGGTTGCACCTCAGAGAACTCTGTGCCCTGATCTACTAGGACATGAGCGATCCGTATACATTCTAGCAGTTGATCCCGGGTATACTCCCTCAGAGCCTGATAAGCATATTCTCTGTCATCAAAAACCAGCAGCGACAAATACACAACCTCATCAAGATCCATCCTTCCCAGCAACAAGCCAAGATGGCTTCCCTGTGCAGCCACTTCTGGTAAGGATTGGCCTTGGTGTAATGTCAGGGCTCCGGGTATGACCAGAGGTATGTGAACTGACGCAGGGAAACGCAGGCTTCAGATAAGTTATAAACAATATAATTTATTAAAGACTAACAATACAAACATAAACGCAGTGCACCAAACCCCAAGCTAACACAAATACATACAACAAGGTGAAACAAACCCAAACCTAGACTGACACAGATACACAGGTACATACACATATAGAGCACAACGTAATCAGGCAGGCCGGGTCGATAACTATCGGGCAGGTAGGTACAGGAGGAGCAGGCGGAGAGAATGGTCAGGGTTACAAGCCAGGGATCAAAACAGGAGAAGTCAGCAGAGGTCAGGATCAAGCAGGGTCAGCAACAAGTCAGGCAGAGGCAGGAACAGGAACGCAGGTTACAAGATACAGGGGCCCAGGAAAAACACACACCAAGGCCCAGACTGCAGGTCTGGCCATCCCTTAAATACACCTGCATAATCAGCTTCAGGTGTTTGGCTGGCGGCAGGGTTGAGTCTCTGATTGCTGAGAGCACCCGCTGGCCAGCCCTGGTACTGCAGCCCACAAGGCAGGTGAGTCCCACCATTACTGGCAAGTCCATTCCTGACACTCTGTGTACAATGGCAGGCTGTAGACCATTTCTCTCCATCTTCTCATCTGTACAACTCCCCAAGCTTGCTTTTGTAAGCCTTGCATATCGATGTGGTTACAAGTTAGGGCTTTATGATCTACTCATTCATAGGGCTTTATGATGGTGCTACTCATTCAAGTGTTGTCCTTATCAAGCCTAAAGTTGTCCATAGATGACTAATTTTTTTCAATCAGCTCACTGAATGGACTCTTCCATCCACACAAAGTGAGGTGGATAGAGGAATCTTCCCCACTAACACATTGTATTCTGAAAGCGGGGACTCTTCTGATCAAGAAACATTTTCCAACAAGCCCTTTCAACAGAGCAGGGGCTGCCATAGATTATCGACCCAATAATGGCTCCTCCTTCCATCTTATAAAGGCACTGGGCCGAGTGACTGAGGAGTACACATCTCAAGAGGGTAGTGGCTATACATTAATTGGACATCTTGTAGGCAGGTGCCTACAGACAAGGTTCTGTTTTAGCAAGATTAGTTATCTGCCCAGTCTGAGAAGGGGTTAATTGGGTCTGGGCTCCTTTCCCAGACTTTTTGGCCCCATCTTCCTTCCCTGTGCATTTTTAAAGAAGGGGAAGGCTGTTTTCCAGGGGCTGTGGCACATGGGAAACTGAGAAGGGGCTGCTGCGCTATGGAGTACTGAAACATTGACGGAATCTGCCAGTTTTGGAGAACACCATTCATTGACATGCACCTTATTAAAGGCTAGGCTTAGACAGTTAGGGCTACAGCTGTATCATGTTAGCATGGACAATGACACAAGAGAGTCCTCAGTAATGTTTTCTAATGTTCTAAGCCTGGTCCAAAACCCAGGACCAAACCTGCGGTACAGAGACCCCATAGACTAGCTGCATGGTACGGGAGAGCTACAGGAGTTAAGTGAGAGTGCACATGAGGTCTGCTCTAGTGCTCAGCGGGACCCCATTCTGTCACTGGGAGTGAGGTGACAGAGGTACGCTGGACTGGTGGAGAGGGCACGGGCTCAGCGGTGTCCCACCTAAATGCAACACACATCAAGGAAAGTGTATAGTAACTTGGGACAGCATGTTTCACAGAGTAGTTGTATATGTTATATTATTACACACAGTGTACGGCTCATCTCTAAGTCGGGATACCACCATAATAATTGATGTTCACATGAACGTGGTCCCGCCTGGTCTTGGGCATTGACGAGCGCATGCACACATGCAAAGGTAACCCCATGTGCAGGGTGAGTGGGCCCCAACCGCAATCTGCTTATCTGTTTTTCAGGTGTTTTCAGGCTTGACCATTTTTTCTTTTAGCCAATGGAAAGCCAGTTACAAGGAGGAGGAGAGACATGAAATTGTGCAAAAGGAAAAAAACACACGTTACATGCATTTTAAGGCAATTTTAATCACTCGCACTGAACTCTTTGGCCTCATTTACACATGAACACCCCTAGACGTTTCTGCTCCTGGCAGAAGAAAAACGCTAACATGGCAAAAACGCGTGTATACACAGTACTGCATTTAGTGCTTGGACGTTTTTTCATTTGATTGGCCAGAGTATTTCCCAATGACATGAATAAACTCCCAAGCGCTAAACGTGACTAGCATTTAGACATGATTATACGCAGTTTGCCGCATTTAGCATTTTTTGGGCAAAATGTTCCTCTCCTGACCGCGCTTCTTCTGCGTTCAGGAGAAGAACGTTTAACTGTCCCTAAACTCTGCTGCTTCTAAACTCTGGTAAAGGCCTATGTGTACATGAACACATAGGCTTTTATTGAGTCGAGTTCAGGGGCTTTGATGAAAAAACGCCAGAAGCTCCTAAACGCACATTTAGGAGCAGCAGTGTACATGAGGCCTTAAAGGACCAAAAACACATGAGTGCCCCAAAGAAGCTCATGACCTTTTCCAGCTACAAGCTTTAAGCAACACATAATCTCCTGTTTCCTGATTAAAGGCTTTTTTTGTCAGCTATGATTTGCTGGTGACACTTTGATACTTCCTACGGCCGAATGAGTTCTCCAGTCTGATGAAACTCCTGTTTAAAGTCACACCTTCATTTCTGGATGCTGGGAGGGTATATTCTGCCAGATGTAGGTTTGTGATTACTGCAATGGTGGCCATACACACTTCGATAAACATTCAACTTCTCCGATCACAAGGAAGAATCAATCTATAGTCTACAAACCCTACGATTGATATGCCACGCACGGGAATGTGGATTTCGATTGATAGCTAAAACACAATTGTAACTTACAATTGTAAGTTATCAATTGCATTTCCTTCCACCATGTAATTTGATCAGTCGAAATACAATCATGTGTATGAACAAAGTATCTCAAGGATGCCTATTGTTTCAAAACAATAAATACATTTCCAATCTGGCCAATCAGTTTGATCGAATACAATCTATCATTTTGATTAAACTGCACATTGATCAGACAATAAAACCACAGGGTGTTTGGTCACCCTTAAACGTGACATTTCTTTATTTCCCTTCTAACATCTTTGCAAACCTTCTCTTTTTGGGCTCAGTTCCAGTTTAAGCATCTCATTTATAAATGGGGCACAGGGCACAGAGGACATCTAGTGGTGGAATGGTGAAACTGCCTATTCATAACCTTCTTTGCAATTGTGTACTTAACACATTTAATATCCACTTCAGCTCTGGAAGGTTTTACCCCCTTCATGACTAGGCTATTGTTTGCTGTTTAGCACTGTGCTACTTTAACTGGCAATTGTGCGGTCAACCTACTGACAAATGTGTGCTGTGTCCAATCACAGCAAGGGTCAGCAGGGGGCACACATGCGCACCAAAAATCTGGTAGAAAGGCTGCAACGTATGGATACATCACCTAGCCTGGCCAAAGTAGATGAAAAACTGTATATACAGGAAGAATAAAGACAATTAGCCAAGAAGGTATTCTTCATTAGTAAAATAATTTATGTACTTGTTTAGCTACCAACAACTTTAATGTGTACAGTTTATTTAATGTGTTGAAAAGCAATGGCCAGACAGAGCACTTACTATTCTGAGTGCCCGTCTTTAAAGGAGAGGTACAGCCAAATCTCTTTTGGCTTTTCTTCTCCTGTGTCTGAAGTCCCCTGTCCAGGTTGGTGAAGGATTCTGACTTTAAAGTTGGGATCCACCCCAGAGTCTGGAGCGGCACCTGACTCAGCCTGTCAGTGATCTGCTGAGAGCCTGAGCCAGCCGCTCCCTCCCCCTCCACAGCCCAGCACTCCAGTGAGCATTGGAGGGGATAGAGCAGACAGCAGTGACTGACAGTCACCGCTCTCTGCTCACAGCGGTGGTGAGAACTCAGCGATCAGTGGTCATGTGATCGCTGAGTTCTCACACTTACAACAGGCAGGGGACAGATGCATCATTGGACCGATGCTGCATCCACCTAGGTAAGTATAATTTTGAAAAAACAAAAATTCCCATACTTTTTTTAAACATTTTAACTATGATGACGTGTACATCCTAGTGTGCAGAAACACAGTGACTGTGTCT